GTTGTTATATTTTGTTTTAAAAGTATCACTAACACATGAGACTTACGACTTCACTTAGAAGTGGCCCGCTAGTGAGTCTTACAACCTAACCCTATAGACTATGATGCCCGGGTGAGGGGTCTAGGTTTGTGTCATCACCTAAACACTTTCGAGCTAGTTGTCTTTACCTAGTATAAAGTTCACACAACTTACAATAAAACATGATTTGTGATATAGCATGCATATATCATGGTTGAATTCATCTTCATATCTAACTAAAATATTTTTAAATTTTTATAAAGATTTAATAAACTAAAATATATTATTTAAAATTAAATTAAAATAAAATTAAATATTTTATAGAACCAACCATTTTTATCAAACAAGTACCAATCCGATGATTTTTCAGTCGAACCGACAGTTCAAGCTAATTTGATGCAAACACGTTTTTTAAATTTGACCAGGCTGGTAACTTGGCCGATTCACAATTAAACTGCTTGTTCTTGTTCGATTTTCAAAATGTTGCTAAATCATTTAGTTGTGAAGGAAGTCCAATCAACTTGACTTTGAGATTCTCTATCAGCAACTATGAATTATGTCATCTAAAGAACCCTAATGATCTACACTCAAGGAAGAGATAAAAATATATTGATAGATGAATCTACCCACTAAATCTATAAGGAATATAGGGCTAACAATCTTTACATTGTAAATAAATTCCCTTTATATAAAGGGAGGACATGTATAATTTTACTATTCAACTCAAACTATTCAACCATCCTTACAATGCTATATGGACAAAGACTTCCACTATATAAGTGTGTTCCTAGCAGGTTACTTGGCCAATTTTATTAAATCATGGCATTAGAAACTATATATCAAGCAAGTATATCCCATGGGATATGAATAATGCAAAATTTTATGTCCTTAAATGAAGATAGTTTGCTATATGTAAGAAAGATAGGTCATGCTATGATTAGTGAAGCAATTAGGCTCAGTACTAATAAAGTCACTTCTTTATATCTTTTTTATAAAGGCATACAATTAATTACATTAGTTAAAAAGTGGTCATATAATTAAGTTTAAAGTTGATTACCATTTCAATTAAAGTTTAGAATTTAAGTTTTTCTTAATAACCTATCAAAATCATGATTTCAAGCAATCACAAATAAGTAAAAGGGAGGAAAATATGCACTTTTCAATCCAATATCAAAGGAATAATGAGCAAGCTAACATAAACTAGAAAGCAGGGTGCAACTAGGGCTTCATTTGAGACAGCTTTCTAAATATTTTCTAATCCATTTTTTTAAGTAGACATTTATTTTTTTTTTAATTTTTAATTTTTGCACTAAAAATTTACTTTAGAAAACAATAATAAAGTCCTAATTTAAATATTAAAATATGGACCGACTAAAACTAGCATATGGGTATAAGGTAAAAATGTAATGCTCCCTATGCTCCTTATCCTTATTGCCAAGATTAATTAAATTATAGTGTTTATTTCCAAAAAATCATTCCTTGGTCATTCCCTCTCCATTAATTGAAAAAAAAGCTGAAAATATTTTCTATATCTCTCTCATAATGAAGGTAAAAAACCCTAGAGTTACTTCTCTTGCAAAAACCATTTATTTTCTCTCTTTCTCCAATAAGAAACCTATGGTTTCTTGAAAAATTTTGCATCAAATCGAAGGAAGTTTCATATATTTGGGCTGAAATTTGTAAAGTCAAATCCATCCATCATTTGTAAGTAAGTAGGTTTTAATTTTCTTAGATTTAAGTTTCGTTTGAGATAATTTTTTTATTGTTTTCTAAAATAAATTTTAATATAAAAATTTTTAGTTTAAGAAAATTTTGTAATAAAAAGCTGCAATAAAAGAAGTAAAAATGATATCCAAAATCAAACCTTACTCTACACACTTATATTATTTTGAAGAAAACATCACATGTTGTTTAAACTGATTTTCCTATGCTAGAATCCATTTCATGATTGCTAAAAAATTTTTTGTGGCTGAAATTAAAATTTCAATTTAAGAAACTTAATTTTAGGATTTGAAAAACTAAGTTTTATTTTTGACCAATTAAAACCTAATTGCATATTTGAGGATAATAACACAAAATAATTTTACAAATTATTGAAATTAATTTTAGGTTTGCTAAAATTAAGTTTAAAGTTTGCTGAAATTAGATTTTAGATTTCTTGAAATTATTTTTTAGAATTTGCTGAAATCAACCTCTAGATTTTAAAAATTTATTCCTCATAATTGCTGAAATTACATTTTATTTTCATGAAAATTAAATTGCATTTTTAATGAAATTAGTTCACATATTCTCTTAAATTTATATGCATAATTTTTAGCAAAATGATTTTAACAATTTTCACAAATGATTTTCAAACATGCAAAACCAACAAATGCAAGACTAATTTTTAAAGCATTTAATTTCAGCAAATGAAATAATGATTTTCACAAAATGAAACAACAATTTCGGCATTTTTAAAAATATTAAATTGTGAAATATAATTTGACACTTTTCAAATATATTGCACATAGCTTCCAGGAAATGCCCTAGCATTAACAAAATGTATTAAGTAATTCATATCATGATTATTTCATAAGTATTATGTTGGTTGTCGACTATATAATACAATCAATTTCCTTTATTCATCTAGGGCTTGGAACCTAATAATGACAGTGTTGTAAAGAGTAATTATGATAGATTTGATTTAATTTAAATTTTTTTAAGAAAAAAATTAATAGAAATAATGTATTTTAAATTTAACCTCATGTAGCCATAAATTAAAGGAATAGCTTGTTGCATTTAAAACAAATTTTAAACTATGTAGGAGATGTTTGACCAATCTTTTAAAAGTTCAAAAACAGGCTTAAAAAAATAAGAAATCAAGTTAATATATATAAATATATATATAATTACTGGATATTAACTCATGCAATATGAAGTTCAAATTAGAAAAGTTTTCAAAAATATGAAAGCAACTATAAGAAAGTGCAAATAATGCAAAATGAAATTCTCATGAAAATACATATAAAATCTTAATTCAACTAAAAAAAATATTTATTTATTTAAAAATAAAAATCAAACCATGGATAAATTTTAAAAATTATACCTTATATTTTGCAAAAATAGTTATTTATTTGTGAGCTTATTGACAAAGCATGCAAGAAATATTTTTTGGACTTCTACAATACAATAAACCTTAATTAACTCTTCAGATACTACTTTTATTATCAAGTAAGTATATGTATTATATAAGTTGTGATTGCGCTAAATTGAGCTTGCTATATTTTCAATATATCTGAAACACTTAATTAATATATCAGAACATTCAATCATGTATTTGTTATCATTAAAATAAAATAATAAACTTTAACTCATGGTGCTAATAATCTCACCTTTTTCAATGATGATAAACTGATATTGATAGTAGATACTAATGTAAACTAACTTTGCATCATATTTTTGAATTAAATTCATTTTTAAACACTATAACATGCAAAAGCACCCCCCTCCCCCTCCCCAAAAAGAAAAAAGAAAAAAAAAGCATATTATATTAAACATATCAACTAATGTCCCCTTTTTGCAATATAAAAAAATAATAAATTTAGCGAGAAGAGAAAACTTAAATTATAATATTAGGATATAATATGATAAACAAACATCTCAAAATACAAAATCCTTTTTCAAGTTTGATGATATTTATAAAATGGCACCAATATAATGGAAAAGGATGGAATGTTAAAAGTTTTTGTTAGCAAATGTAGTGCAGTATAGTTATTATAATACTCAAAGTTAAATATAGTGCAAGTTTTGTGAAGGTGGTTGTAATGCAAATGAAGGATATTACGTAGGCCTTATTGTGATTGTTGCAACATAAAAACTAGTTGCATCGTTGGTCTTTTTATTATATAAGTCTTATGGTAAATGGCTATGACATATGCCTTAGCATGACACAGATCTAAATGTTGCACATGTTTTATGTGAGATGCTTATTACACGTCTTGATGTGACACATACCTTAAGAAAGATGTCAATCACTCATAGAATTTTCTAAAGGATCTAGGAGATCTTTTAAACTTTGAAAATTTGTTTAAATTAGTTGAATGAAGAGAGATTTATAGTTTTTATGAAGGGTAGTTAAAATATTCCTTATAGTTATAATAGTTTATGATATAGATTGTACTCCCTTATAATCAAATTATGATCAAACTTGAGCTGACCAAGGAAAACAATGGTGTTTTAATGGTAGTGATCTAATGGCGGATGCCGATAGCAGCATCTCTAATCAGGAATAGTAGTGTTAGATTGAAATTTTAATGGTTATATTAGCAAGAATAATTTTAAGTAGGTTTATCATTTCTAAACTAGGTTCATTAAAAATTTACAATAATGTCCATAATTTATTATGTATATCTTCTCCTTGAGAAGTATATTTCATACAACAATAATTTATAGAGATCAAAACAAATCTAAGAAGCATAAGCCTTCAAAGGCAATTGCACAATGCGAACACGTGTAAGTAGAATTTGATGGCACCAATGTGTAGCTCTTTATGAAAGCATTCGATAAATAGGTCATCCTGTCCCTTGGCTACCACTGGCAGTGGCATGATTGTTATTCTCCCAACGATTCCCCTTATTTGCAATAATTTTTCTAACCTTAACAAAGACCACATATGATCTACACATAATTAGATAAACTTATATTTTGAGAGCTTAAATCAACGTCATAAAACTCATCTAGTTAGTTCACCTCAAATAGAGACACTAATTATTTGATTAGAGTCTATTAAATTCCATTAGAATTCAATGAGCCACAAAAATCAATAAAATTAGTTTCAATAATTATCTTAATATATCCTTGATATCATTACAATCTCCTATGATCCCACAAATATTAATTTGATTATTGACTGGTCAATATTTCCACATAGCATAGCATCACAATTTTGGTCAAAACAACTCCACAAAGCAGACTTACTGTATACCCACTGTCTGGGTAATAGCTCACGCTGCGCACACGTGCTAATCTCTCCTTCGCAAGTCGAATGCTCGACGTTGGACTTCCACAAATTGTCTCCTTTCCTCGTTTCCTCTTTCCTCTTTTAACCCCATTGCCGATCTCCGGCCGGCGGAAATCCGCACCGCCGCATCTCGCCTGACGTGTTTTACCGTTCTACCCTTTCTTCTTCTTCTCGCGGACTCAGCCAATTCAAAGCGCGTGGATTGCTAGAATCAACAGTGGTTTCGTTCTATACTCTGCTTCAGTCGATCGGCGTTTAGGGCTAGAAATTGCACGATCGGAGCTTATCATTTTCGTTTTATCATGTGGTGGTGACGATCTTGGGGACGGTAGGGTGCTAGGGTTTTTGAATGGTAAATATGATCAAACAGATACTTGGCAAGCTTCCTCGTAAGCCCTCCTCAAAATCCTCCCCCGGCGAATCGCCAGCCGACGGCAGCATCGCTGGCTCGGTCAGATCCGCCTCGGGGAGGAAGGCAAGTTTCGTTGGCAGTGGTGGCGCGGTCACGGCCGCTGCTGCCGCCTCACCGGTCGGAGCCAGCAACGGTGCTGTCGGGGTTGTGGCGAGTTATGAGCCGCTTCCTAGCTTCCGCGACGTGCCGAGCTCTGAGAAGCCGGGGCTTTTCCTGCGGAAGCTCGGCATGTGCTGCGTGGTGTTTGACTTTTCGGACCCTGCGAAGAATGGGAGGGAGAAAGAGATAAAACGGCAGATGCTACTGGAGCTTGTGGATTACACCTCCACGGTCACCAGCAAGTTCAATGAGGCCGCGATGCAAGAGGCCACGAGGATGGTGGCGGCCAACATCTTCCGAACTTTTTCCTCTTCGACAGGCGGTGAGGGGCAGAGGGCTGTGGAGGGTTTTGAGGCTGAGGAGGAAGAGCCAGCGATGGAGCCGGCATGGCCACACCTACAAATTGTCTATGAGTTTTTCCTGAGGTTCATAGCCTCATCCGAAACCGATGCTAAGATTGCTAAGCGATATGTTGATCACTCCTTTATACTCCGGCTGCTGGACCTCTTTGACTCTGAGGACCCGAGGGAAAGAGAGTACTTGAAGATGATACTCCACCGTGTCTATGGAAAATTCATGGTTCATCGGCCCTTCATCAGGAAAGCTATTAATAACATATTTTTCCGATTCATTTTTGAAACTGAGAAGCATAATGGAATTGCAGAACTTCTTGAGATTCTTGGAAGTATAATTAATGGGTTTGCACTACCACTAAAGGAAGAACATAAATTGTTCCTTGTCCGGGCGTTGATTCCACTTCACAAACCTAAATGTCTGGCGCTGTACCACCAGCAGCTTTCTTACTGCATCACTCAGTTTGCGGAGAAGGACAACAAGCTTGCCGACACAGTCATTAGAGGGCTCTTGAAGTACTGGCCTCTCACCAATAGCTCAAAAGAGGTTATGTTCCTTGGGGAGCTGGAAGAAGTTCTGGAGGCCACACAAGAGCCGGAGTTTCAGAGATGCATGGTGCCCCTCTTTAGACAAATAGCTAGGTGCCTCAACAGCTCACATTTTCAGGTACTTTCATTCCTATTGATTAATATTAGTACTGATTTTTTTGTCTGCCTGCACTAGCTATTGTTTTCTTCTCATAACACGTTTGGAAGCATCATAATTAAAAATTTGTGGAATTGGGTATTTGGGTGTTTGCATAAGTTTGTGATTAAAATCATTCAAAGTCTAAAACAAAGAGCGCAGGTGCATGCATGTTGGTATATTTTATTGTAAATGCTGCTGCTATTTTATGATTGGCTCAATTTCTATTAATCAGATTAATATTTTACTCATAATTTTGAGGAGAAGCTATAATACAATTTTCAAATACGTCTTTGAGAATGAAATATTTTCAGTGGAGTTGAGATAACTATGTTATTTGAATTGAATGCCTAGCTCCACTTTTCAAACATTAGGTATAAAAGGATATCAACAGATGGGGATGGACTGGTTTTTCTATCAGTATTTATATTCACTGATATTTTTCTTTAATCATGTCACAAAGCTAAATATATTTTGAGCATCCATGTTTTTTGAATTTCCTGATGATTTTAAGCATACTAGCAAGCTAACATTAATACTCTAGCTTTCCACCCCACTTCATTGGTAAATTGAAAAATTTTCACATTTTACCAAAAGTATCACATTATTGCTGTTGCGATATTTGCTTAGGTAATTTCTGGTTTTCCTAGAGATTAGGATCTGAGGTGTTATGGCTAAAGTCCCTAAAAACAATAGTTTCATGACTTTTTAACTTTTTTTTTGGTAGTTCCTTTAGTATAGGGGTCTATAACAACCAATGTTGTTTCGGCAAGGGCACTCTCCTAGGAGCCCAAGCAAGATAAGGTCATAACACTCATCAAACAACCTAGGTGAATTCCTTGCCTACAAGTGCTAGGTCTCGGAGCTAGTAGCTTTCTTTGATTGAATAAATTCATGCTAAGGCTTGGCTTGCTGGAGTTTTTAACATGCTTTGCTCCTTTAGTTTTGGTTTGTATGGTAAATGTGCTTTGAAAACTCACACATGCAACTTCTCTGTGATTTCATGAGCACAATGAACACATTCATAAAGCATCTCTAACAAGGAGTATATTTATATATTTTGTTTCATACATGATAGCACCAACTCAGTTATACCAAATAAAATACTTCAAGCATGGAAAATGAGTTAGTTTTCAATAACAATAAATTTGCTTGGGGTGATATGAAATGAACCGGAATCGGGATAAATAAGAATGCAGACTATGAAGAAAGTTGCAGATTCAATATAAGTGTAAGAGCATCGAGTTATAGACTAGTAAATTTTGAGAATAAGGAGTTAATTTATGGTGACAGAGGAGGAGATGGAGGACCATAAACCAAATGATGGAAAAGAGAGCATGGATAATAAAGAAGAGAACAAAAAATAAGCATTAGATTTGTCCTGGGCTATGACACTAAAAAAACTGTTTAACTAGTTAAGCTATTGAAACATTTGTTTAAGGTTGTAACAAGATTCTTAAACTTGAAATTCAATGGAACTTGAAAGTCACTATTTTCCCTATTATAATTGTTAAATCAATGTGATTATCATTTTATATTATCGAAAAGTTTTCCTCTTAATTCAAATATATTTATGAAATAATATATTTCTATTTCTTTTTTAGAGCCTCGCTTGGGTGAGCGCCTTAGGTGTTGCTCAGTGTCTCAGGTTGTGTCGGTGTGTTAGGAGTTGGATGAACATAGGATGTTATGGGAGCTTGGACAACCATACTCTAGTTGAATGGACCTTAAATCCTGAGATTGTGAGTGCAGCCATGACATTTACCTCAAAAAAGTTTTTTTTTTTCCATCTTTACACTTTACCTTTTTTAAATATCATTTAAAGGGATGGTGATGTTTCTTAGAATTATGATGTAGTTCTTTTGTGCTCTATCCTTTGTGAATTATTTAAATGCGAACACTTCATAACATAGGATATGGTGATGTAGCAGATGTCAATTCTCTTCTAAGCATGATATTTTGAGATATCTACTCCGTTGGTCTTATTAGATTTGGTATTTTATATTTTAAGGTGCCTTTTGCACGTAATATTAAATTGATATAAAGCAGATAAAAACTTAAACCTTGTACTTATTAAAAAACATTTGCCTGGGGACTAAATGCATTTTTAACTGGTAAAGCTAGTGTCTAATGTCAAGTTTTGTGTTGAATTTCAATGCATTCATGGGTACATGACAATTATAGTTGCATCTCTAAAACAACAGCAGTTGCACAACCTGGATGAAAATACTGATATAAAATGAAAAGTATAACATTATGGATTGAATGGTTTAATGTCATAGAAGTAGCAATCATGTATTATCCACTGCTTCTTGACATGGTCGAGAACTAATTTTTCACAGTTTAACTACATTTTAGGTACTGCAAAGTTATATTCACGCTTTGAGATTCAAGTGTTCATCCACAATGAATTTACACATAATGTTAAACTGAACAAATCCTGTAGATAATAATACTATCTTTATCATTAGCTTATTGCCATTATGCCAACTGTTGTGGTTCAACTTTATGAGTCTTTGTTCTTTAATTGTGGCTAATGTCAAGTTTTGTGTTGAATTTCAATGCATTCAGCGGTGCATAATAATAATAGTTGCAACTATAAAACATGAGCAGTTGCACAACTTCGATGACAAGAATTATATAACATGAAAGGATAAAATTATAGATTGAATGGTCAAATAGCAAATACCATCTCATACTTCTTGACGTGGTTGAAAACTAATTTTTCATAGTTTAACTACCTTTGAAGTACTGCAAAGTTATATTCATGCTTTGAGGTTCAAAAAACCTTCTCTAATTTCCTTGGATTGAAGGGAAGTGTTCATCCATGATACATTAAAATTTAATGTTAAATTGAACTAATCCTTTGGATAATTTCACCATCATTATCATTAGCTTTATTGCCTTTATGCCACCTATTTGGGTTCAACTTTATTATTCATTGTTCTTTATTTGTTTTTGTTTGAGTGTAGAGGAGGTGTTAAATTTTTTAACTCAAATATTTTTGCATAATTTTATCTGTGTTACTTTTGACATACCCCTCTTTATCTAATCTCTCGATAATATTGTTAAACATATTTTTTATGGGTACACTTTGTTAGTTTTCATTATATATGTTCAAATCACCTAAGCATATTTTTCAATATCTTATCTTCTATAGATACTGCTCTTATTGCTCCTCTAATATAATCATTCCTCAATATATTCTTCCTAATGTTTTCAACTAATAATTATTAATCTCATGGTTATTGAAATTGCATATCATATACTTAGTTTTTTTACTACTACTAAGCGCTTTATCTTCTATAAGTTTTTTGCATTATTCTAATTTCCACTAATATCTTATCGATTAAAATTATCTCATATACCAAAAACATACACTACGACACCTCACATTTTGTCTTTAGTTTGCATCTTTATAATCAATTTAAAGAGACTCAAACATAATAGCAACCCTTATTGTAATCCTTATTGGAAATTCTTTGGGCACTTCATAACTACTAATACTTGTCAAGGCTCTTCGTCATGCATATTTTTAATAACTTCAATGCAATTTTAACACGTTTTTTTCTTTAATGGGTGCCCAAGTCAATTTATTGTGTCACTCGATCATATATCTTCTTAAGGTTAATAATAATGGTATGAAGTCTCTTTTCTACTTTTTATACTTTTCTATTAATTCTTTTAACACAAAAATACCTATATAATGGATCTTCATGGCATGTAATAAAGTTTATTTTTTCGTATCTCCATTTTTTTTCAATTTCGTTACTACTTCGTATAGCTTTGTAATATGATTTATTAATTCAGATTCTCTATAATAATCAGAATCCTGAACATCTCATTCGTTCTTGAATATTGCTGCCAAAATGCTCCAATCTAATCATTTGACATTCTTTTAATCCCCAAAATTTCATTACTTTATTCCATAATTATGTTATTTGACTTATAAATATAATTTCTCTATAACAATAACAATCTTGAACATCTCATCTATATAATGGCGCGAAAGTGCTTTTTTTAGTCTTTTTACATCCTCTTACTCTTTAACATTCCATTAAAAATGTTTGTTAACCAAATTAATACAATTTGCACACAACTCTCCAAATCTCAATAAATTACATCTAGATCCAAAGTTTTATACATATATATCTTCTTTAGAGTTAATTCTGCTTCACTGTTTGGGATCAATATATAATATTCATTATTATTTTACATATTGTAGTCCTAAAAAATGAATTCTTTTTTTAAACTCTTGTTTATTATTTTTTCAAAATAGTGTTTCTATCTTTCTATGCCGTCTTAATCTATAATTATGATCTTGTAAGCTTTGTTTCATTCTAACCAAAGTCTCTAGATCTCTTAAATCTTGTGCATCTACGTTGTATTATGTCTTTTCTTTTTTTAGCACCTAGTCTACTATACATATCATTAATTGTTGTCTTTATTTTGCTCATTATGTTCTTTATAGGACTTTTTTCTTATAGTATAAGCTGTAGAATTTTTTATTGTTCGTCACTCTATACTTGTATTTTTTCTTTAATGATCTTGTGTGCTCCCTCACTCCACCTTGAAGCTCTCTTATATACTCTCTATTTATAGACTCTCTTAAAAATTTTTATGTGACTCTTCTTTATGAAATTAGCCATCTTACCTCACATAAAGTTTGGTTCAACCAACAAATTTCAAGTTGCCTCCTTTAACAAATTATCTAGAATAGTTATGCTAAGCCCCATAAATTTTATAATTTTTTTAAATATTTCATAAGTAAAATATGATTTAAAAATCAAATATAATTAAAATATGGAATAATATCCCAAATCCATACTCTGATTATATGATTCATAGTATAACTCCAAAGTCTAATGAATATATATGTGTGAGTGTGTGTGTATAATCAAATAAAATAAGTTGTCAAAATGAAACAAAATAAGTAATTATTCACTCCGTAAGTTCTCTCTTCTTAGGCTTCTCATCCTCTG